AATGAGTAAATAAATGGTTTCAAATTGACAAATACTTGTAACTTACACGTGCAATCAAATTGCAGTGGGGGCCTCAAATCGTACGCTACAAAAGGGGACATTTTTTGGAGACAGTACAAGTTTGATGGATCCGAAGAAGAAATGAGCATAAAAACAAACAGAAAAAAGTATCCAAAGTCTTTTACAAAATACACACAGGGTACATTCACGTCCTTCCGACATGTTGAAAAGTTACTTGACAATCAAGTTGTCTAAAAATAGATGGCAAAAATTCCATTCTTGTGCGCATGCTTCTGAGAGGAATTAGTTATTTTTTTTTATTCATTGAACATTCATGTGTAAATATTCAATAGATAAAAAAATTGCTCACCTCTTGCTTATCATTTAAAATCAGCCATATAGCATCGTTTTTGAATGGGCAGCCAGAGAATACTTTAGGGCTTACCTGAAAATTTTGACATGCCAGAAAAAAAGAAAAATTGCCCAACTTTTTTGCGATTTGAATTGCGAATTGAAAGATGTAAAAATTTATTCAATTTCAAATGTTCTTTCATAAGACTTAGCTTTTTATATACCATCATCCACTAGTCGTATAGGGTATTTACGTTTCACAAGAAAAGATTTTGATTCCTCTAGTCCCAAATCCCTTGTACTTTCATCACTTACTATGGTGCAAACTCTTCTTGCCAGTTTATATGGTATCGCTCTCTTAGTATGGTTTGGATTACATGATCCGAAGTGTAAATACTGATGTATATCGGTGGCTTTGTAATATATATCAGTAGTTATCTTTGTGTTCTTTTTCTCCACCAACATATCAACACTGAGAGCTCGGATAAGAGTCCACAAACAGCATTTTAATAACCCACAATACAGACAAATTAAACTTAGTGAACATTTAGATATATGCGGGAAGAGACAATTTACCGTTTTCCCGTTCTATAAATTGTCTGGAAACCAAATCAAACGAAAAGAAAAGAAAAAGAAAAACATTTTATTTCTACTTTAAAACCAAAGCATTGTTTGACTTTCCCGTGAAAACTGCTGGGAGAATTACGTCACAGAGACTTATTACGTTCCGCTTATTATGACGTCATAGTAGGCATTACTATGTGACAGTTAAAAACTTGATTGTAAAGCATCTGAAGATTTTTAAATAAAAGCACTAATGCTCTACTTTGTTGTCTTCGTATAATCAGGGTCTTATGTATCTGTACGTCCAGTTGTCTTCCCAGGGGAATACCTTGTCTGGGGGACATCTGTTTAAGATTAATAAAAATATCTTCAATTCAGAGAGTACTCTTTCTTTTTCATTATTTCTATATGTTGGATAATATATAAACTTTTTAATTAATATCTGTAGGAAAGAAGATAAGTTTTTCTGCCTCAATGACGTCCTCCGATTCTTCATGGAACAGTGGAACGATGGTGTTTCCTTCTGTCATAACCAATGAAGGAAATGGATACAACCCAAGTACCGGAATATTTACTGCCCCTATCGGTGGAACGTACGTCTTCTTCGTGAATGTTCAGAGTTATGGTTCACAAAATATTTATGTTGACATTGTCTTGAATGGATCGACAAAGGTTAGAATTATGGCTTTCACCGGTAATTACGACGCGGGTCCCAATCTGGTGGTGCTGAATATTCAGAAGGGAGACGCAGTGTGGGTCAAATATTACTCTGGTACAGGTTACTACACTGATGGCCCACTTACCACTTTCTCTGGTTTTCTCATATAAGCATACACTATAGACCAAAACCTTTAAAATGTATTTTGTGCAGCCAATACATAGATTAATTTTTTTGCCTTTATTTGCTTAAAATTGGTTTTCATTTCAACCTAATATAACTGGTATATTTATTTTTAAAATATTTGACAGAATTTCCTCTATCCAGAAAAATAATATTGTTATTTGCTTTTAAGTGTTATTTCATTTTTATGCATTAACAATGTGTGAAAATGTTTTAAAAGACAAATATCTCTTCAAAACTACCTTGTTTATTCCAGAGATTTGAACCATAAACTATATACTCATATTACTCAATGTATTAACTATCTATATTAAGAGTGTATGTGAAATGATATTTTTCATATTCTGCAATTTCAAAAAACTTCTTCAGAAACATACCGTAAATCTGGAAATTTTTGCTGTAGATAAATTTTTAGCAAATTTGCGAGTGCATTACATTCGCAAAAATATTTTTCTTAAAAATAAATTACCATCGATAAAATGTATAAAGCAGTGGTCATTCGCAAAATTTTGAATCGTAAAAATTATTCAACAGCATTTTGACCCGAATTCACAAAATAAAATCAACGTAAAAATTTCCAGATTTACGGTACATGATTTGTTAAATATATAATTAAGCTAATTTTGCTAAAAATAAAACAAACACAAATTTGTGTATTTTATAGTGTCTTTAAAAGTTATATGTACAGTGTAGTTATGTAGAAAAAAAAGAAACAAATGACTCAGTAAAAAACAGAACACTAAATAGAGAGAGCGAAAGAAAATTTGAGAGGAGTAAAGTTTCTTTTTACCAGGGTTTTAGAACCCCCGACATAAATATTTGATAACCACCCTTTGTGGCGAATAAATTTAAAAGAACTTTCATTAACGTGATTCTAAAGTGGTTGGGCATAAAAAATACCCTCTTATTTAAATAGGTTTTCTTGACCTATCGGAAAAAAAGTTTTTATGCTGCATTGATTTGGATGTCTGAAATAACGATACTGATATTAATATATTTATATTACTGAAGATTTCTTTATTTTGCACGAAAAAGGCAAAGATTGATCGATCTAAGAAAAAAAATCAATAAACAATACAAATTTGTGAAGAGGACATAAAACATGGACGTCGAGAAATTTCAGAGGTGGGATCAGGTGCCTTAAAAAGGAAACATCCTCTGTTAAACAGTCAAACCCGCCTTGTGCCCTATGTACCGATCAGGTAACAGAACATTCAGTAGTCAAATTCAGGTTCCGAATTAAAACAAAGGCCTAACAGTCGTATGAATCAAGTCAGCAAAAATACGACCCAATGATCGGTTACATTTGCTTATAAGTTCATTATAATTAACAAATATAGATTTTACAATATTGACTTTGAACGAGGTTATTGAAATCATTGCAACATCAACTTAATTTTCACTGGTAGGTCAGTAGAAATATTTGAACTTTCTGCTATATATAAATGCAAAAATATCTTTGCTAATAATGGGACACAATTATAATCAAGATATTGTTGGAAAACGTGATTTCCTTAAAATACATACAGTTCGACAATCGGAAATTCAAACATTTTGAATGTTAACTTTAGAGTACTTGTGTGTACAATCAAAATGTTTTAGATAAAATATATAGAGATAAAAAACAATGATCAAGACCAAAAGTCCGTAAAACAATACGAAATAGAAGCAGAGCAAACACGGACCTTCAAAACATCAAAAGTGGGATCAAGTGCCATGGAGGAGTGAACATCCCCTGCTAACCCGTCACACCCACCGTATGCTCCTTGTCATAATCTGGAAAGAACAGAAAAATCCGTTGTCAATTTAGTTTATAAATAATGAACTAACAATAAGTATGAAAAACGTCAGCCGACATTTGACTCAATGATGAATTGTATTTGCTGACATTCATTGTATTGACCATAGAACTTAATGATGATTTTAAATAAGACTCCTGATATTCTTGTATCATCAAATTATTTGTCTACGATCTACCTCGTTTTAGAAATTGTTCATACGTAGAGCATGCTCTTGTGTATCAAATCAATTGAGATACATAAACTCCATATGCAGACGAAGAAGGTATATTGCAGCATAAGTATGGGAAGTTGTTGATAGAAAAAAAATCAAAGTCATCACATTAACAAAGAGCTTGGTTGTTAGATTATCATTAACGTCTTTTTCAAATAATATATCCAAATATGAAAAAAAAATGTGTCAGACTCTGTGGTATCTCTTATCTCAAGCTCATCAGGCTATATCGTATCGGCGTATGAATGGTAATTACAGCTGTTAATTGACAATACGTCGTCGATATATCTTAATGTCGAGTCGAAGGCCAAAGCAAGTGTTTTCTTTCTTATCACACATAAGATTTTGTACAAATTCTATTTCATATGAATACAAAAACAGGTCTACTTATAAAGGAGCGCATTTGATACCCATGGGAATTCCAATAGATTTTAGGAAGACCTGATCATCAAAAACAACAAAGGTATTGTACGAGGTTTGTTCGAAAAGTTCGTGGACGATGTCAATCTTCGTTATATTACTCACTGGAAATTTAAAACAAGCACATTGTAATATGTAAAAATATTTGTTTTGTTGATGTGTGACGTTTCATTTCATTCGATTTAACACAAATAAATTTAATTCATTTTAAAATCAACATGTTTTTTACCCGCGGAGCACCCATAACGGCAATGTAACGTCAACACATAGCGTCGAGAATTTATAGAAGAAACTATACCTATACATTTCACACAGAATATTCCAATGCCCAATCATTAAATTCTATTTTTAATACTTGACATTTATTTTTTAAGAATTGATCTCATTGTGAAATTTTCTTTGTTAAGGTTTTAATTTCTTTTAGTACTCAACTCTCACAGTAAACTATCACAGGATAAGCAACTCTGAAGCGCTTTTGTCTTTCATTTACGTTTCAAATTTTAAAGTTTTGTTCAGATGTTTACAGTAAAACCGTTTCTTCACAGGTCATTCTCATCCGATACAGAGTCTCTGTCACTCAAATATTGCCTGTACTATTTGTACACACCTGCACAACTCGCTTGTGACATATTTTCCTTATTCTTTTAACAATTTTTTAGTTTATTTTTCCTGAGAAAAACACAAAATTACTTTGGTATCTGCTGCTCCTTGACGCTCTAAAACGTCTTCGTTTTTGTCGATTTTAATAAGGACTACTTATCTTCTCATGTTGATTTCTTTTCAACAAAGCAAAATATAAAACCATAATTTGGTACACGTATCGATGTAACAATTCTTAATTTGAATTTCTAGGTAGTTTTTCGTGTTTCCTCCATTTTACAGAGAATATGACTATAGACATTATTTATTGTATTGTCTGTAACTGACTAAATTTTGACCTGCTCCGCGATCCCATTTTTGCATTTTTAAAATCTGGATAAGTTTTTAATCAATCGTAATATTTTGTCAAAATTAATACATATCATTTGAATTTATTGTTAAAATATGTCTGATTTATTGTTAAAATATGTCTGATTTATTGTTAAAATATGTCTTCCAAATTTGGATAACATATGACGTCTAATAAAAAAGATATGACAGTTGTCCACGAACTTTTCGAACAACCCTCGTAAATCAGAAACTCAAGCATCTTTTTGATGTCGACTTCATACATGTAGTACTTGTGTGTATTCAAAGGCAAGCTAACTGTGTATTTGTATTTTGTATGACCAACTGCAGCTGTCTTCAAATGTGTCCTCTCTCGAGGTGTTCCGAATGAATGTGACGCATAACATTTCAGGTAATAACTTAAAATAAATGAAAGAAAAATAAGAGATATTAACACTTAAAGATGAGATCGCTCTTCGCGATCTGGATCTTAATAATCTCATTTCGTTTTTAATCTTCATTTTCCATTCTGCAAAAAGGTATTTTTTTTTAGGTATTATGCATTAATTAGATTTAATTTAAAGTAAAACCTAGAACTTTAAGTTTTGATTTATCATGCAAACATAATTATTCCCCAGATCTTCTTAGATTTTCAATATGATAAATTAAAAACGAATTATATTTGTAGGTAAGACAAAAATGGTGGGTTTTTCTGCCTCAGTGTCATCCAGCAGCTCATCTTGGAACAGTGGAACGCTGGTATTTCCTACCGTCATCACCAATGAAGGAAATGGATACAACCCAAGTACCGGAATATTTACTGCTCCTGTCGGTGGAACGTACGTCTTCTTCGTGAATGTTCAAAGTTATGAAAGGCAATATATTTATGTAGACATTATGTTGAATGGATCAACAAAAGTCAGAACTATGGCTTATAGTTATAGTAGCAGTCTTGATTATTACGACGCGGGTCCCAATCTGGTTGTGCTATCTATCCAGAAGGGAGACAGGGTGTGGATCAAACGTTACTCTGGGTCTGGCTATTACAACGACGGTCCTATGACTACTTTCTCCGGTTTTCTCATACACATGTAATGTTAGTCTGAAAAAGATCTTTGTGCATACTATGAACATTGACGGTGCATGACTGTCCAAATGAATAATCTTTGTCGCAGTTTGACAGTTAGAATATTTTAATAACCTACATGATTCGGCTGACAATTCATTTAATATTTTACTGCTTTATCTGGAAATTGAAGAATCTATGCAAAAAATATATTTTGTTAAAAGTAAAGAAAAAGGTTTTTAAATTCATTTTTAGGATATCTTCAGAAGGAATTGGATAAAGATGATCAGTTCAGAGATCAATGTTTTAAAATACCGGGTATTACATCAAATGAAAAATAAATAGATAAAAATCAAGCAGAAGTTTCTTTAGAAGACAAATTAGTGTTTTTATCGCTTTTAAAACAAGCATGTAAACATTTTATGCAACGTATTTTAAATTTCATATCCTGCCACCAATTTTTTCTATTGTGGAATATACTTTTTGTACATATTTTGGAGATTTTATCTTTTTTTATGTTTAAATACTGTTATCAGCGACATTGTACGCTATTTTTCGGCCTAAGAAATTTCTTTTTTTTTTTGCTTGTTATTTTTAAAGTTGATAATTATTAAACCTATCAATTTCTATTTTCTGAATTAATATACAGTTGTAAAACTATTCGAGAATTACAGTGTATCTTTTGTATGCTTTTTCTTTTTTTTTTTAGTAAAATAGCCCTTGAGAGCTAAACTTATTTGTATACTTGCTTGCAATAAAGATTTTTTAAAATTCTTCTATTCATTGATTAAAAGAACTGAGAATAAAAAGTTTGACACCGCTCCAATTTGAAGATCATCGATACTAGTATTAGTGAAATCAGGGATTAAGATTACTACAATCTTTTCCTCAGTTGTTAGAATGATATATTAATCATTTCAACAGTCTGTCTGCTGTATGTCCGGAAGTGAAAAAAATTAATATTGCAAAGAGTTTGTTGCTTTTAGCTTCACTCCTCAGGCCCCAGGGGACAGGAATAATGAAATGCACAATGTCTGTTCCCTTCTCTATAATGAATGCTCTGTGCCAAAATTGACTGAAATGTGATGAGCGGTTCCAGAGAAGAATTTAAGCTGAAATGCAATATATGGAGATAACAAACCGTATTCAATCTCAAAAGTATATTAAACAATAGAAAAAATGGCAAAATTCGGACCCTAAAACATCAAATGGCTGATCAGCTGTCATGAAGGAGTGAGCATCCCCTGCCGACAAGTCACACCCACCGCCGTGTGCTCCTAGTCATGATCGTAAAATATCGGAGAAACCCATCGACATTTCAAATAATAGATAATAAATAAAAAAAAAATGAGTTTGAAAAATGTCAGCATTTGATTAAATTTGATAGAATATTTGCTGACAAGGTCATTGTATCGACCATAAATCTAACGAAATGATTACTTTGAATGAGTCTAGCTGCTGATATTCTTTTCCACTAACTTGTTTGTCAATTATATGCCTCGTTTTAAAAGTTGTTCAAACGTACATCATGATCTTGCGTATCAAATCATCAACTGCGAGATAGAGGTGGGATGAGGTGCCATGGAGGAATGAACATCCCCTGCTGAGCGGTCACATCCGCCGTGTGCTACTTGTCATGAATAATCCGTCGTCAATTCAGTGTATAAATAATGGACTAACAATTAGTATGAAAAACGTCAGTCGGCACTTCACTCAATGATAAATTGAATTTGCTGACAAGGTTATTGTATCGACCATAGAACTTTCGAAATGATGACTTTAAACGAGACTGCTGATATTCTTGTTTCATTAACTTGTTTGTCAGTTGGTTTAATACTTTTTCATACGTAAAGCATTTTTATGCATATCGAATCAACTTAGATATATAAACTCCGTATGCAGGTGATGAAGATATATTACTGCATAAGCAAGGAAAGTTGTCGATAGAAAAGTTAAACTCATCACGTTTATCATAGAGTTTGGTTGTTAGAATGCCATTTACATCTTTTTCAAGTAAAATATCCAAATATGAAACAAATGTACCAGACTCTGTGGTATCTTTTATCTAAAACTCACCAGGATATATCGAATCGACATTAGAATGGAAATTACCATTCTTAATTGACAATACATCGTCGATATATCTAAATGTCCAGTTAAAGGTCACAGCAAGTGCTTTCTTCTTTTCACACATACATTTTGCGCAAATTCTGCTTCATATGAATACAAAAAGGTCTGCCAATAAAGGGGCGTAATTGGTACCCATGGAGATTCCAATAGATTGTTTGAAGACCTGGTCTAAAAAACATAGATATTGTCAATCAGAAACTCAAGCATCTTTTTGATATCAGCTTCAGAGTATTTGTGTAGAGAATCAGAATGATTTAAAAATATAATTTTGCAAATGACCAATGACAAGGTAAGTAAACGAGTTGCATTTTTATATGATCATCCAATATTTATATGGAAGTTCACATTCATCTTGGTTCTTTACAAAGGTCCGGATATGATTTTGAAAAAAATTCTTCCTGCTCCTGTTTTGTATTATTTTATGGACTTTTGATCTTTAATACTGTTCGTTATCTCCATATGTTTCATTCCTTAGAAAGGGAACTATATGTATAAGTTGGAATACCACCTGTAGAATTAAGTTCTTCTAAAAACATTTTATATAAGAAGGCTTAAAAACGAAGACAATGTAAGTTGTTAACTGATTTGTCAGCGGGGATCAGAGCGTTCTGATCATGTAGTCCATCTATTTTTTTCACTTCTGGATTGTTGGATACAGAAGAATAGATGGTTTTCGTATTGAACCTTAATCTTTTGATACGCGATTTTTTTTATTTTATTTTAATCTCACCGAGATACATCGTGCCCACATTTGAATAGAAATAGGTATCGATTATTGACAATACGTCTTTGTTATTCTAAATGTTGAGTTGAAGGCAACAGTAAGTGTTTTTTTTCCTTTTCACGTATACAATTTTGATCAACTAATAAGTACGTCTAATTGTACAATACACTTTAATGTTTTACTACTAAATAATGTGTAATTAAGGTATGTCACTGATCAGCTTTTTAGAAAAGTTCATGCAGAACCTTTTACTTCAAAACTATTTATTAAAATTCAATTTTTGTTACATATTTAAATTTAACAATGTTAATGTTTTAACATTCAGGCCATACGAGTATTTTCACCGGTCTTAGTATAAAAACTTTGTCCAGTAAGGTTGCTTTAAAAGAAAATATTTTTATATCAAAATATCGCAGGTTTTGCAATGTGTTGTAGATAATTTGAAAATGGAACTAATAAGGTCTGAAAATGACTTGTAAAAATATTTTGTAATGAAACCTCACAATCCTTAATTTTACAAAATGTATGATTAAATTAATATATTTATATCAAAACTGGTCATCTGCTGATTTGCACATTGTGTCGTTTATGTAGTTACTATAGTTTATTTCTTCACAATCATTTAAATCATGTTTCAGTTGAATAAATGCTAATAGCGTTTTATTAAATGATAAAATGATCATTGTTGTCCGTTTTATTAATAATTGTCTGTAACTTTGATCCGTCAACCATTACCATCACCATATCTCTGTTTTGCTTACGAGGGCTGTTCAATAAATAATGTCCTGAGTTCTATGACATACAATATAAAAATCTTAAGACATTAAGCTTGACTTTCTCTCATGATTGAATCTTTAATGAATTGATTACAGTTTATTTGACCAATTTTCCTAACATAGTTTCATTGTGAGAAGCTGGAAAACAAGGGCTATTCGAGACACTGCATTAAAGATGAATGGTAAAGAATCAGTAAACAAGAGCAAAATTAAACGCTTCATGAAAGCTGCTGTAAAACTCGCTAAAAATCTCAAAGAAATATTCCCTGAGATATGTGTAATCTCCAGACAAATGAAATAATGGGCATCAAAATGGGTACCGTCCTTGGCGACAAAGACTTACAACAACCATTGTAATGTTTAAGAAAATTCAACAAATAATCACTGATGATGTTTGATTGAATTTAAGGGGGGCGACTATAGTTTTACTGTGTGAAAACTACAATAGCGAAACTCTTCATTTTTATACCATATATAACTTACATTAACTTCAGAGTACATGCAAAGTTTGGGGGAAATCTACCGTCCGGGTATTTTTGAGGGACTGTCTCAAAATACAGGTACATTTACTATAGGATTATATAGGAAAATGCCAATTTTTAAGCACTTTAAAGCAAATTATACAAATACTACAGTAGACATTTTGTTCAAACTATGATATTTGATGAGTAATACTATATTATACAATATATATAAGAAACACAAAATTCTTTCGTCTTGTTACCAGAGGGGGCATCTCAAAATGCAAAAAATAAGCAAATGTTACTATTTTTCTAGAGTATTACAAAATATGACGTATACAATGGATTCACATGAAAACATAATAAAAATATTGGGGATATTCTAAAATTTCCATGTTTTAAATTTCAAGAGCGTATGTTTATTAGAGGTACAGATTATCATAACGTCAAAAACACACTGCAACGACGTCAATCTACCTATCAATTGCAAAATCGGTTTAAAAAAATCAGTTATATCAAATTGTAATTACATTTTTATACCTATAATTCTTTTTTTTTTGCTTATTTATTAAACTTCAACAAAATTATTGTTTAAGTTTAATAAATAAGCAAAAAAAGTTGCATTAAAACAGTAAATACGCTTCATTTTAGTATGATGCGCGAAATATTGCACAATGGTAACTATAGTCGGCCCCCTTAAGACACATAGAAAAATTGATAAGCATCATTTTTGGGGATGTTTACAATGTTTTAAAGAACTATTTGACAGTAAAAGGGCTTAGTACTCAATGGTCACCCTATGTTTTGAAAAATGAGTGAAAACAACAGCGTTTAAGAATATCTAAACAATTTTCTTTAAAAATCAAAAATTAAAGTTATCCACGTTTGTCTGAACTTCATACAGATAGTGAAACTTGATTTCAATGTTTTTAAACACTCAAAGCAAATTTACAATAAGATGCACTTGTCAAAAACAGCCAAGGTCAGAAAAAAGCAAATAATTCCAAAAGCACAAAAATAGTTTTATATGCCATTTTCTTAAATATTACTATGATCAAATTCTTATTCGGAGAGGAAGTTCAATTTATGGATAGGTATAGAAAGCATTTTTTTTTTGCAAAAAAAAAAAAAAAAAAAAAAAAAAAAAAAAATTGATAGGTTTATGAGAGAATGGAACCTGAATCAGGAATCCACTATATTAAGTTTCGTCATGACAGCGTCCAAACCCATAGCTGTGGAAAGTAAAGTAATTTTGGGGATAAACAGAAAGCTAATGTTTTGTCAAACCAACAATATTTGCCAGATCTTTCACCCTTTCTATTGTTTCATTTTCCAAACTTCAAAAAACACCTTTCAAAAAGAAGAAACAAGTCAAGGAAATTATAGGATCTGTCATATTCTAGTATACAAAGGGCAATACTCAAAAATGTGTTTTAAAAACAATCAGAAATTGGATGAAAATATTACGGACATGTGTTTCAATTAAAAGAGAATATTAAAGTAAAATCATCGGGCTAAATCTTCGAAAAGCGGTTTTTATTGCTTACCGATCATCAAGGACATTATTTATTGAACAGCCCTCGTAAGTCACTGCTTTTCATCGAAAACAGTAGCCTTTCAATCATATTTACATTGTAATATAATTAGAGTGTATGTATGAACTTTGACGCAGCTTTTCTG